AAGAGCAACCAGGATGATTAGACTGGAGGCTAAAACCTATGAAGAACCATTGCAAGAATTGGGTATGTCTATTTTAATGAAAAGAAGAGCTAGGGGTGACATAATAGCAGTGTTCCAATATCTCAGGGGCCGTCACAAAGAAGAGGGAGTCAGTCTATTCTCCAAAGCACCTGAGGGCAGGACAAGAAACTAATCAAGGAGAGAACCAAGTTAGAACTAAGAAGAAATTTTCTGACAGTGAGAACAAACTAATCAGTAGAACGACTTGACACCAGAAGTTGTGAATGCTCCCAACTATTTTAAGAAGAGATTGGATAATCATTTGTATGAAATGTTATATTGAACAGGGGATTTCATATCCCAGATGTTGTGTTGGGACAACTCTGAAAATGAAACTTGGGAATTCATGATCTTCAAGATAGCAGGTTTGAAAATAATATAGAAGTTTAACTCTCCTTGGCTGTGCATTGATTCTGTCAATGTTGGCCTTCTCATAGGATTTTCTTGGCTGATCTCAAAAGACTGAACAGTGTTGATTGAATATTGCACTGTAAAAATAAAGAGTGTCTTTTTTAAGTCAAGCTTAGTGAAGAATGATGATGATGTTGCCTAGTTTGAGTAGTGAAATGTTTGCAAGAAAACAACTAATCTCAGAGAGCACCAAAGAACCTTCATTTCCATTTCATAGTATAAAACATCTACTGGACTTACTTTTGCCCCAAAACATGATTTAATCCTGGATCTGAAACTGAGAATCGCTATATCCAAACAAATTCCATCTATTCTACTAGGTTCTCATTCATAAAACGTTGATTTAGGAATTGTTCTACCTTTCTAGAGTCAGACATAAGGTTGTGTGTACATTTATATCCCATTATTTACAAAAGTTTATATGGTCTTGCAAGGGTTAAGTTAAACAGGAGAGCGTGTTCAAACAGAAGAAACAATTGAGATCATGGAAATTTATTTTTTAATAATAATTATATTAGAGATTACAATTACACAGTTATAATTATACAAATAAAAACTAATAGAAAGTACCCCAAAAATTAAAAAGAAAAAATACAAAGTGCAAGAAAGAAAAGCAGATAAGTATAGGAGATAAAAGTAAGTATAGCAGATAAAAGAAAAAAAATGAAAAAAATTAAGTGCCCACCCCCCCCATCACAAGTATGCAAAGCAGAGGTGGTATTTATCACGTTCTGACCAGTTCTGGAGAACCGGTAGTGGAAATTTTGAGTAATTCGGAGAACTAGCAAATCCCACCTCTGACTGGCCCCGTCCCCATCTATTCTCTGCCTCCCGAGTCCCAGCTGATTGGCTGGGTCTTCTTTGGTTGCCCTGCACAGGAGAATGGAGCTGGAAAGCAGGTTATGGGGTGGGGAGGGAATGGGGATTTTGCAGTATCCTTCCTCTGCCACACCCACCAAGCCACGCCCACCAAGCCATGCCACACCCACAGAACTGGTAGTAGCATTTTTTGAATCCCACCACTGGATGGTACTCATTTCCATTTCTTAGATGAGGGAGCCGGTGTTATTCAAGGACATTTCCACTGTCATGTGGCCAGCATGACATCATGCCACAGTGCAGAGCGTATGGCAAAACACAGAACACTATAACACATCCCACCAAAGTGGTACCTATTTATCTACTCGCATTTTCATGCTTTTGAATAGCTAGGTGGGCAGGAGCTGGGGAAAGTACAGGTAATCCTCGACTTAGAACAGTTTCTTTAGTGACTGTTCAAAGTTACAACGACCCTGAAAAAGGTGACTTAAGATTGCTTTTCACACTTATGACTGTGGCAGCATCCCCACGGTCATGTGATCAAGATTCAGACCTGTGGCAACTGACTCATATTTATGACAGCTGCAGTGCCCACCATACGATCACCTTTTGTGACCTTCTGCCAAGCAAAGCCAATGGGAAAGCCCAATTCACTTAACAACCATGTTACTAACTTAACAATGGCAGGGATTGACTTAACGACTGTGACCAGGGAGGTTGCAAAATGGAGCAAAATTCACTTCACAAGTGTTTCACTTAGCCACAGAATTTTTGGGCTCAATTGTGGTCATAAGTCAAGACCCACCTGTAATGGGAGCTCACCCCATCCTACAGCCCTTGGGTCTCGAACCTGGGCTGTGAGCTTTCCAGTGGACAAGTTCAGCTTCTTAACCACTGAGCCATTTGCAGCCTTTTCACAAGTATATACAAAGCAATTAAACCATTAACAGATCCTGGTCTTAAAAAGAATCTCTCCATCCCATAGCAACAAAAATTTTCTCACCCCCAAGTTGGGGAAGGCTGACTAGGTAGCTTTGCAAGTCATAAATAGATATATAAATAATAGTAATCATAATGTCAGGGCTCCAGCAGTTACCCTCATTTAAATCATCTCGAGCCAAACTTCCAAAACTTAAAAAGGATTTATTTGGGAATTAACATGCCGGCACTGCCTGGGTGTAGCCAACTCTGAAACACATCATTCCTTGTCACCCTTGACCCTGGTTTTCCCTCACCCCTTGGGTGTATCATAATTCAGATTCTCCAATGGGACACATCCATACCCAAGAGTCATCAATCATGCTCTCCAGTTGGAATTTTGCACGGCAGAAACTTCGGTCACCTAGTTACTATCTTTGAAAACATTTACGAGATGCAGGTTCGGTTTGCAAACTGCCACACTGCCCCCCACTCCCTTTCTGTTGGCAGCTCTTAAAGACCATAGAAATATTTTATGAGTTGACACATAACCAGATTCTCTCTTCATTATTTAGTCCCAGCACAATGTTCACTATTCACTTCTGTGCCTCTATAAATTCGTCTGGACACAATCTATCCAAAGTGCCATTGCCATTGGATGTCTAATCTTTCCCTGATTAAACGAACCATTTGAAAACAGCTACGACAGGAAACTCAATGTTCCACTTTCTTAAGACAACATGCACTCCAGAAGGAATTGCATGAATGTTTACTAAAAATTAAGCAGGAAATACTTTCCCAGGGTAGCTCTTGCCTTCTGAGCTTTAATGGGTCATGAAAGTTAAGATTTATTTTAAGCCAGAAGAGAACAGCTCTCCTCTCATTTCCTGTCTTCTGCATAGTAAAGATATATTTTGGAAATTCAGGGGGAACGTATTTACATTAGCGTTGAGAATGCAAGTGTATATCTTGCACTCTGATAACAACACATTGCCGCCTACTGTTTGTTGATATGGTACTATGTAGACTTTGAGTTACGATGCATGGTTATTCTACTTTTTTTTTCCATTATATTCTGCGCAAAAACTATGACATACTTCGAATTGTGCACTTACATAGAAACTCTCTAAGACTCTCAGGTCAGAACTGATGAATAGAATGAAATAGAATAGAATAGAATAAGCTGGAAGGGAATGCTGAGATCTTCTAGTCCATCCCTCAAGCAGGAGAACTTATACCATTTCAAATAAACGAGAGACTAGAGTCTTCTTAAAAACATCCTCTATATTCCCACATTCCTAAGAGGTCCGTAAGGGGCGTGCATAAGTGCACCATCGTGCCTACCATCCCTGTCCTATTGTCCCCATTTATTCGGACCTATTTCATGTATTCTTACTCATGTTTATACTTATACCTGTTAGCTTGTAAGCGATTGACAAATCAAACAAATAAATAAAAGAAAAGAATGTCTCAGACCTTCGCCTCAGTTATGTTACAGATAATATGGCTTAAATCACTGCAGGATTTTTAGAAGAGATTGGAGAGGGGTTGGTCTAGAAGACCTCCAAGGTCCCTTCCAACTCTGTTATCCCAGAAAGAAAGTTAGCCTTCATTAACTTTCTCTCTGGATTTGAGGAGCATGAATTCACACCAGGTGATACTGGAAATACCCTCCTGTTTACAGTTTTCCCTTGCCGTTTGAAAATAATCCCAGCCGTCTGAAATTATCCAATATTCCCGATTTTTTTTAAAAAAAACACACATTACCTTATAATTGAGATCCTGGATACTTTAGGGGCAGGTGACACGCTACCAGACATATACAAAGAAAGGACAAATTAATCATTTTTTATTTTTCTCCATTTTTCAATTTTGTTTAGGTTTCTCAGTTGTGCCAATGTCTATGCATTTTGATGCAGACACCAACAAAAATCCCACAGTGATGTTATTGTATTGTTGTTGCAATTTTTCTACAGTCTTTCCCTACTATATTTTTATGTGGCCAATTTCACTACAAAAAAACAGGAGAATTTCACATTTCAAATAATAAAGCTTTGAATTATCATGTTGGTTCAAACAGGCAGAAATACATATGGTTGCAGGGAAAAATGCAGGCTAAATTAATATTCCCCCTCATGCCAGATTGATACGGTGTCATTAAGTCTGTGAGAACTCTTCGCAGCCACACAGATAGATTTTCTCCCAGAATCATCAATCATTTCATAATTTTTGTCCGTGTGTCTGTGGATGTGTGGTTGTGGATGAGTAGGTATATTTCTATAAAATAAAGGAATGATTTACCATTGCTTTCTCATGCACAATAGTAATATTACTTAGACTTAAATACCCCTTTACATCCCTCTCTAAGCAGTTTACAGAGTCAGCCTATTGCCCCCAACCATTTGGGTCCTCATTTTGCCCACCTCGGAAGGATGGAAGACTGTGTTAACCTTGAACCAAGTGAGATTCGAACTGCCAAATTGCAATACTGCACTCCAACCACTGCGCCACCACAGCTCATCCTTCACACATTAATCCTTCACCCATTGGACACATCCAACGAAGGACAGTCAACCATCTGTCTGCATTACCAAATTGCTTTTGTTGTTGAGAAGTTCTTTTTCTTCAAACATTGAACCAGAATCTGCAGTATAGCATGAGCCTGTCTTCTGTCTTTTGTAATTGCCACTTCAGTTTTCTCTTTTCAAGGCTTAACTTTCTAAATTGCTCCAAACTCTGTTCACAAGATTTGGCTAAAATAAACCTTTAAACAAGTGTATCATGAGCCACGATGGCGCAGTGGTTAGAGTGCAGTACTGCAGGCTTCTTCTGCTGACTACTGGCTGCCTCTAATTTGGCAATTCAAATCTCACCTGGCTCAGCCTTCAGCCTGCTGAGATTTGAACTGCCAAATTGCAGGCAGCTGGCAGTCAGCAGAAGTAGCCTGCAGTACTGCACTCTAACCACTGCGCCGTCATGGCTCATGCTAAACAATGCTAAACGATGCATTTGCTATTGTCACAAAAGTGTATCTTTTGCCTCCACTATATAGTATTGCGACTGTATCAATATAGGTGGGCAGCCAAGATGCTGTTCAAACCTTGGGCAACTCTGTTGGGAGCATATACGATTCGTATAGATTCCTAGTAGCTTGTGCTCATCCTGGAGGAAAAAAAAACAACCTCTTCCACCATGAAGTAGCAGAGCAGGGTTTGGGATAGGGGGAGAATCTCTAGGACCCCCATATAGTGAGTTTCTAGACTTACAACCACAATTTGTTCCAGTGGTGGGATTCAATTTTTTTTACTACTGGTTCTGTGGGCATGGCTTGGTGGGCCTGGCTTTGTGGGTGTTGCAGGGGAAGGATACTGTAAAATCTCCATTCCTATTCCACTCCAGGGGAAGGATGCTACCAAATCCCCATTCCCCCACCCCCACCCCACTAACCTGCTTTCCAGCTCCGTTCTCCTGTGCAGGGCAACAAAAGAAGACCCATCCAATCAGCTGGGACTTGGGAGGCAGAGAAGAGATGGGGGCAGGGCCAGTCAGAGGTGGTATTTGCCGGTTCTCTGAACTACTCAAAACTTCTATTACCAGTTCTCCAGAACTGGTCAGAACCTGCTGAATACCACCTCTGATTGGCTCCACAATTTCCAATTGCTAAGCAAGATGATTGTTAAGTGAATGGTGCCCGATTTTGTGACATTTTTCTCATATCTTTCTGCCCTCCATTGTTAAGTAAATCACTGCAGCTTTTAAGTTAGTAGCCCAGTTGTTAAATGAACCTGGCTTCCCCATTGACTTGGCTTGTCAGTGTCAACTCATAAAATATTTCTATAGTCTTTTAGAGTTGCCAATCGAAAGGGAGGGGAAAGCAATGTGGCAGCTTGCAAACCGAACCTGCATTCCATAAATGTTTTCAAAGATAGTAACTAGGTGACTGATGTTTCTGCCGCGTAAAATTCTAACTGGAGAGCATGATTGATGACTCTGGGCTATGGATGTGTCTCATTGGAGAATATGAATTATGATACACTCAGGGGGGTGGGGGGAAAATCAGGGTCAAGGGTGACAATGAATGACGTGTCTCAGAGTCGGCTACACCCAGGCAGTGCTGGCATGTTAATTCCCAATAAATCCTTTTTAAGTTTTGGAAGTTTGGCTCGAGACTTGTGATTTAAATGGGATTAAGTGCCAGAATCCTGACAGCCAGAAGGTTGCAAAAGGTGATGATATGACCTTGGGACCCAGCAACGGTCATAAATATGAACCGGTTGCCAAGCATTTGGATTTTGATCATGGATGGGGATGCTGCAAAAATCATGAAAAATGGTCATAAGTCCCATTTTTCAGTGCCGTTGTAACTTTGAACAGTCACTACATGAACTGTTGTAAGTCGAAGACTAAATGAACTATTGTAAGTTGAGGATTCATGTTTTTGGTAGTATACTTGCTCAGCAAACACAAAGCAGGAATTGGTCCTTTGGAGAGCAGGCAGAGAAACAAAACAGCGGCAGGCATAGGCATTCAAGATTCTTCTTTGCAGCCTGCTTGCTCTTAAATATTTCACAGCCAACTGATAAAGTTTAATAAACAACTGTCACAGCTGCATAAATCTGCTGGACAATGCCGGATCTCGACTCTGCGACTCTTCGCTTTTCAAACCCACGTCAACGCGCACCCTAATAGGCCTCTTCAGTGCCTTTTTCAAAGCTGCAATCAAAGAGAATTTTCAATTTATCTTGCTCTCCAGAGTTATATGAGAAATCTTATTTTAGCGATTATTGAGAGTGGAACAACGAAGGGCATTTCCTGTGGAGCTCAGCCATGGAGAAGCAAGGGTGGAAACATGAAACTTTCTTCGTGTTGTTTCTTCTCCTGGTTCAAATATTTGGCTTAGAAGATGGCAGCCGACAGACAGCCGAGATCTGTTCCACGCATACCATTTTACCTGGACCGAAAGGTGAGGCACTAGAAAGATTTCTGAGGTAAAACACAAATGCCTTTTCTGTGATTCTACTCTCTCCTTCTCTTCCTCTCCTCCTGCAAGCTCTTATGCCATAAGAAATGGAAAACAAGGTTGCCAGCTTTCCAGCAGCTTCCTGCGGTGATAATGTAGCTGAGTCGCTTATCATGTAAGCTTTCAACTTTATTTTTAGTGCAAAAGCTTGAAAAGGTTTATTCGTGGAGCCGTCCAGCACATCTTATAGGCACAAAACAAACCAGCCTAAGCTGGTTAAAGGAAAATTGGAATTTTCGACTGAGGAATTATGGCATGAATTAATGAATCTTTCAAATGTCATAATTTCCTCCAATTAATCGTTGCATTTAAGGATTCGAATATTTTCATCGATCTGGCTGCTGTCATCATCCGATGGGCCTGTAACATTTCCTGAGGGTGGTTTTTGGCAAAGAAAACAAGTGTGCAAATGTTTTAATTCCAATGAAGGGCAGCTGTTAGCCCCAGCATGTTTACCTAGAATTTCTGATTATAAACTCACATTTAACAATTCTGGAAAAGATTTTGCTTTGAACTAAATGCTATAATGGGTGGATTTTGGAAGGCCCTGTACTGTGTAACTTTTATGTTGCAAACAATATTTGTCTTGATTACTGTAGGAATAGCAATAGGCCTATGAATTTATTTATTTATGTATTTATTTATCTGCCTGCCTGCCTATCTATCTATCTATCTATCTATCTATCTATCTATCTATCTATCTATCTATCTATCTATCAACTATCTATCATCTATCTATCTATCTATCGATCAATCGATCTATCTATCTATCTATCATCTATCTATCATCTATCTATCTATCTATCTATCTATCTATCTATCTATCTATCTATCTATCTATCTATCTATCTCAGAATAATAGAACTGGAAGGACTTTCTAATCAAACCCTCTGATCAGGCAGGAGATCATATTCCAGTGGCTAGTCAGTCAGTCAGTCAGCTTGCCTTCAGAAGTTGTGGGAGCACCATCACTTGAGACTTTCAAGAAGAGATTGGACTGCCATTTGTCAGAAATGGTGTAGGGTCTCCCGCTTGGGCGGGAGGTTGGACTAGATGACCTACAAGGTCCCTTCCAACTCTGATTGTTATATTTGTTATCAGTCAGTCAGTTAGACAGTCAGTCAGTCTGTCTCTCTGTCTGTCTGTCTGTCTGTCTTTCTATCAATCTATTTATCTATCTATCTATCTATCTACCTACCTACCTACTACTTACCATCCATCCATCCATCCATCTTACCACAGGGCACAAATCTGTGCTGTTCACATATTTAAGACTGAAATGTTCGGCTGGCTATCCCATAGGTTTGGTTAACAACACAGGATTTGTGTAACCAACCTCAGCTTTACGACCTTCGCATTTGCTTAACAACCACAGGGAAAACAAACTGTAAAATTGGGTTCGGTCACACAGTGACCTGCTTTATGGCTGTCACAACTTATGACCGTAATTGCCAGACTCAGATTATAGTTGTAACTCAAGGACTACCTGCAGCATCTCTCTGGTGAATGGGTGGTCTCAGTGGCAATATTAGGCACACTCTTACTGTTGCAATCTGATTGTATTTGATGGAATTTGTACCCAAAGATTGCAAGCAGAGGAAACTCAGATAATTACAAACTGCTTGAAGAGGGGATTTGTTCCTAAGCTGTTCTGCAAAACATCAAGCTAGCTAAATAAACAGATTAAAAATCCAGCATTGGCATTTAAACAGAGCACATAATTCATTGATTCTAGTAAAAGTGTATTTAACTAAAAACTTTTTCTCTGTGAGAGTTGACAACTAGAATCCTGTGGCATGGGCAATCTGATTATCTCCACAATCCATGCTGACTTATAGCAAAGTTACTTATAGAAGAAAATGAGATAAAAATAAAAGTAAAATCTCTCTTTCTCTCTCTCTCTCAAGTAAAATTCTCTCAAGTGTAGTATACAGGTTCATCTCCCTCTGGTTGCTGATGAATAACATAAAACAGCATGGCAGTAAGGGCTCAAATGGAGGGTTTAAGTCTGCCCCCTGGTGGCTATGAATAAGAACTTCTAAGACTCTTAAATGATGAAAATAAATTGAAAACGCGTATGTGACACCATCAGTTCTCCACTGTCAATTAAATCAGCTCAACTTTGTCCAGGTTGTCACACAAACCTGGAAGAAAATGTTACTGCTTTTAGAAATGATCTAATTCAAATATATGTGATATTAAACTCAAATTTGCAGAACTACAGTATTCCATTCCAATATAAAATATGAAGTGATTCTTGTTTTCTTCTGAAGATGTTTAAAAGCAAAATAAGAAACAGTTCCTCATAACAGAATAAAAAGGATATATATATATATATATTTATATATATATATACATACATACATACATACATACATACATTTTCTGAGGGTTTTGTGGGTATTTGTATGTGGATCAGAACACAGCCCCACCCAATCAAGTCACACCCCCACTAGCAGTTAAAAGGAAGAAGCAGCTGCAGGCTCACATTACTCCAAGGAGCACAAAGCCGAAGACACAAGCCTGAAGATGATGAGTGAGACTTCATCGAAACATCGCCTAGATACTTCCAATTTTACGCGGGAGAAAACCCAAATAACCAAAGATAGATAGGTAGGTAGATAGATAGATAGATAGATAGATAGATAGATAGATAGATAGATAGATAGATAGATATGTGGATCTTTGGTTATTTGGGTTTTCTCCTGTGTAAGATTGGAAGTATCTAGGCAACGTTTCGATGAAGTCTCATTCATCATCTTCAGGCTTGTGTCTTCGGCTCTGTGCTTCTCAGAG